AAAAATTATTTTGTCACCTTGATTTGTAATTTATTAATATAAAAACTGCAAAAGCTCTTTAAAAAAATTAAGTGGGATTGCTATCATATAACCTTTGTCAATGATGTCTACTGACTAGTACTGAGCTAAATACCGCACAGATTCTGTTGGGCTTGAAGCTAATATAATTTGAGGACTCTCTTTAAGAAAAATAATATTAAAGTAGGTATGAAAGTGAATATTTATTTAGGATGAGATTATCAATTTTAATAAGCTTTCAAATACTACAAATATTTAATATTTCCTGGGTCTTGGAAAGGAACTATGCAAAACAAAGACCTCAAAACTTAAGCTTCATTATGTGCAATGAGAGGAACCTACTTCTGACACTATTTGGGATTATATTGTTTAATTCTCTTTACTTTACAATACTACAAAACAGATGCAGTAATTTTTGTCATACTATTTATTATGATACTATGGATCAAAAAATTAAAGGATTGACCAAAGGTTATAGAAACAGGGTTTGAGTTTCAGGCTGAAGGTGACATTATTATGTAACAATCCCTCACAATGAGTCTGTGTTTGGTATGACTCCTCTTAATGAAAATACAGACATTCCACACCATATGAATCAATCCAGGAATTTCAGAACTTGAGTATACATGGTTCAGTATCCAACCCATTATCAGCCTTAGTTAAAATAAAGGAGTAAAGGAAGAAAGAAAGGGAATTAAAGAAAGGAAGGAGGAATGGGGGGTGGGTGGGTGATAATCAAGCCAACTTGATTATTAGCCTGTGCTTATTAACAATAACATAAAGTAAGCCATTGATGAGAGATATTTCTAAATATAAGGGAGAATCACATGGTGGGATGTCTAAATGATTGGGAAGTAGCTATTGTGACATCATGACTTTTTCTGGAAGAATTCATTACCTGCCACTCCTCATCCCCCTACCCCTATATCTACACACACAAGTCAGGGGCTTCCCCAACTAGGGCCTTCATTTGCTTATTGTGGGTAGAACACATCCCATCCCCATCTCTTTTAGGACATTAACATCTGGCCCGACCAGCTCACACTTCCTTCAGGACAGGAATGGGATAGGAAGGAGTTGTAAAACTTTTGACTAGACACTTAGAAAATCATTGTTCCCCTGGATTTTCTGTTACTTAAACTCACCAATCTCTTTCTCAGCTTGAAAGCTTCACACATCTCTCTCCTGCTCTAGAAAGGTGCTTTAGCTACTCCTTTGTCTCCTGCATAGCTGATCGTAAATGTTGACTTCTCTGAGATGCCTTTCCTACTCCCTACCTATGCCCTACCCTCCCTTGCTGTTTTTCTTTGACCCTCTTTTGTTCTCTTTCATGCATTTACCACTGTTTTGATTACCTTGTTTTTCTGTGTTCTTGTTTTTAATTATCCCTAACCCCCTAACTTGAATGTAGTTTCCATGAGCTTTAGGGGCAAAGAAAAGTCCCTCTTCTTAAACTCATTGCTCAAGCACGAATTGTGTCCTAAGTATTCATTGCAGGAGTGATTATTTTATTGTATGCATGAATAGATGCATCCTCCAACAGTTTGGATCTTCATATACAGAATAAAGTGCCACAGAATTAGGAATGAGCAGTAATGGCCATGTTCTTTTTATTTTTACCCCCATAGACAGAGTATGCCTGTTTAGCTGTAGCAGGGGTTGGGGAGGTTGTTGGAAGAGGGCCCAGGTAACAGAAACTCTGTGTAAATAAAAGATGTGTTGCTACCTACCATCTTTAATCTATGTGTTTGTGTGAGTACAGTCGATGACCATCCAAGCAATAGTAAAATCGACTTGTATGTCAGGTGTGGAACTTCATTCCAGGGATGTGGGAAGGAGGGGTGACAATGGCCAAGGTCAACAGACAAGCTGCCCAGTTGCCCCGCTGCTTTGTGTGAGCTTCCTGTTTACCCTGAAGGTCTCTGTCCAATTGCTGTCCTTCCCCACTGGGTGGACTTCCCATCTGCCTATCCAAGAACATGGGAAAAGATAAAAAACACAGTGCCCAAGGAGATTTAGAAAAAAAATGGGCCTGGGAGAGAGAACCTTGAGGTGTGAGCCCCAGAGTGGGACCTGGGGATTGTCATGCAATCTTTTTTTTAAATGTTATTTTTATTTTAGCTTTATTGAGGTAGAATAGAAAAACAAAAACATATATTTAAGGTGTATTATTTGGTCCTGGGTTAGGATACTCATTTGGGCACCACAAAATCCAAGGAGCCCTAATAATATGTGCCAAGGCCTTACTATGTCAGCTGGGATAAGCCAGAATAATCTCCCCATTTCAAGATCTTTATTTGAATCACCCTCACATTGTCCTTTCTTCTATTCAAAGTGACATGTTCACAGGTTTTGGGGTTTATAAGGTGACCATTTCTGGCAGAACCATTATTCTTTTTTAAAAATTAATTTTGGTACAGGGTACATGTGCTCACCAAAAAGAGATAGAGAGAGGGAGAGAAAGC